TTACGCCCAGAGAACATGCTTGTGGTCAGGTACAACTCAAAATCTAAAGAATTTTTTCTCTCCCATATCTCAACAATACCACCCTCGTAAATAAATTTTGAAAAAGCTAATACACTTTTCCTTTTCGTAGCATGACAGGCAAATATTGAAATCATGTTCAGTATTTTCATAATAGTCAGGGTCACTTTAAATTTCCATTGCTGCAGTATTCTGCTGTAAGCTTCACTCAAAGACTAACTCTTATCAATCATTTTATTACAAAAATTGTGTTAGCTTAATTTTAAAATTGCATTGGCATTCTGTGCCAATGACAAGTAGTAGTTTTCTCAAATTCTGAACTCAAAGTATGAAATATCAAATCATATTAGATTTACCATCAGGTTCGTATCTTTTTACAAAATGCAACATATCTGAAGTTTTCTAGACCTCTCCCCCACTCCCTTGGAGGAGAAGAGAATATAAAACTCCTAAAAGGTGTTAAAAGCAGCATCCTGTATCCATTCCACTCAGACAATTCAACTTCCATTTACTAGAAGAAACAAAAGACGATTTGTTTCTTCCCAAGACCTTTCCTGTACTCATTGAGAAAATGACATACTGTGGTCGAACTATTATAAACACAATACTCCCATTTTCCAGGAACTGCTGTCTTAACATGCTCCACTACAGGTGTTTTTATAGGTTCTTGTAGGAGAGACTCACTATGTAACAGTGTCCTAATTTAATCAGAAAATGGCAATAGAATGCCCGTGGCTCAATTGAAGTTTCTCATTTTCTAAACATTTGCAAATAGAAATTAACATAAATTTTCAAGACCCTCCCAAGCAGACATGAAAATCTAGCCTAAATGCCTACTAAATCAAAAAGCAATGCTCCTAAATTCATTTGCATCCTCTTTGCGCATATAGCACAACACCAATTTTTCCTTTTTACTTTTTCTACACCTACCACCTCTCCTCACCTATTCTGATTCATTCAAAAAAACTTTAAATAAACTTATCTCCTTAAATCTAATGAATTAGTTGGCGATCACTGTTTGTATAACAGAGCACTAGCTCAGTCAAAAAAAGATATTTCTTTCACCCATGCCGATTCGCCAGGCACTGGAACGCAGTAGAAAGTCTGTCTCTCCGAGGTGACTGTTTGCGTGGAGTTCAAATCAATTTCCTGCTGAGGCTAGAATACCAATAGAAATTTCGTTAAAAATCTCATTAGAGTTTGTTTTCTTTTTTTCAGCTAATCCCACAGATTCAGTTACTTAGCCAGAAGTTACAACAAACATGCAAGACTACATACTCATGAAACAGGGAATCCCAACAGTCTGTATCTACAATGCTTTGATTCTAATAGCACTGTGCTACCAAAAGTAAATTGTTTTCCATAGCAGAAAGTTTCAAGATCTAGAGCCCTCCCCAAGCAAAACAAATTTTAAATACAACAGAAATGGCTTGGAGCCTGCTGAACTTAGAATGCCCGTGAGCAGTTAAGAATACTCTGCTTTCCAAACCTGAGTTTAATTTTGCATTTTAAGAGCAGTATCTCCAGGAATCCACTACCAAATAAGCTATACCGCACTTGTAAATTGCATCTTTCAGTCTAATATGTCATCTCAAATTTCGTATAACTTGTATAACTTACCCCACATTCTGCCACATCTCTGTATTTACCAAAATGCAAAACCTGTCAAGAAGGAAAAGGCAATGCAATCATTATGTTTCTGACAGCATCCTGAATATGAATTACTTATAGCCAAATCATTGCGGTCTAAAGTCCTTCAAAGACATACTTTCATTATTTATTAATTTTTATTCCTCAACAGAAATGTAAGAAGCGATGTATTACTAATGCCATTTGAGCCATATAAACAGATAGCACCCAGACTACATAGGTTTAATTCAGAAACTAGAGGAAATATTAAAACTAGAATGGAAAAAATGCTAAACATCTACTAAAATAATAAATCAGTGTTTCACTTACACGTGCATTTGTGTTTGGGTCAACTGTTTCATATACTCCCATGTAAAACTCAGGATCAAACATATCTTGAACCATGCAGCGAAATTTCACTAAACTGTTGGGCTTTAGGTAATGTACGGGAACATCATTCAGTGATGGAACCTATAAAAAAGAGCTTATTCTAAACAACTGGTATATAAATATTAAGAAACGGCCTGCATGAAGCCAGAATCAGCACAAAATCTGTCACCAACTTATTCTCTGATCACCTGGTATATCCTACTGTTCACTTACTTGCCTCAAACCCTGTGCTGTTGTTGATACGATCAATTTTCTCTGACAATTCAGTGCCTCATCAGGTAACATACTGAATATTTTCTGAGTACCCTTCCCCCACATCTACTGCCCTAATCCAAGCAGTAACAAAGTGTGTATAACTCAACACTGGAAGTTTCTGCAATAGCTGTTAAATATAATAGTTACAATTATCAGACACTTAACAGTTCCCAAATTCTTCCACTCCCGTTCATTTCTCAGTCCCAATACCGGCCTATAAAGAAATGCATTTTGGTCACTGAAACTGTATGGAAACTCTACAACAACATTTAAAACTAACTCTTACACTGGGAATTATTGCAGCTGCAGTATTAAATAGAATTTATTACTTATTTTATTCCCATTTAACAGCACTTTTACCATGTATTATGTACCAGTGGTACCATAGCAATTGCACACACAATTTCTTATAACAAAAGGCCGTGGAAAACCTGTATGTTAATTTCCAAGTCCACATTGGGGGAGTCTTTTTCAGTTATGTTTACATGACAATGGAAAAACAGAAGGAAAAAAAAAAAATCAATGCCTAGGCACGTGGTATAACTTGACATAAGACTGGCAATACTAACAGAGTTTTCTGATTTTGAAGATAAACTCTCTGTTGGAAAAAACCCACATCCAACATTAAAACGCAACAAAAACCAGAAGTAGCCCTATAGGAAACAGCATTTTAATAAACAAGCATATATTCCCTCATGTTTATCTTGAGTAGGAAAATGCGCTTTCAATTCCTTCTAATGCTGTAAATTTAACACAATTTTGCCATCTACACTTTGATTTAAACTGTCATTGAAATATTACAGAATACTCTCACTGACAAAGAAGAAAAAAACCAAACAATCATTTTCACTTGCTTTTTTATCCATAAGTAGAACAAATTTGATATGAAAGTTTCTAATCCACTTAGCAGTGTTCCACAATGCTGTTTTTGCCACAGTCTTTTAGAAAAACATCAGCTTTTGAACACGCTTTATTTTTAAACCTAAAGCATAGCTTCCTTGCTAAACCACAAAACCCAGGCCTGATCCAGCCCAATAAGGCACAGTTTTAGCAGAAAGTAATTTTTCCTAACACCTGAAAGCCCAAGCAGCTATTTCTTCAACCCACACAAAGTTTGCAGCATCAAGATAAAAGATCATGAGAGAAGGGGTTTATAAACAGCAGTTCAGAAACTTGTGGTGTACAAACACTTACTGCAGACTCACAGTAGACAGGGCAGGCATTAACACTTTCAAAAATGACAGTATTTGTCAGCTCCTGCCATCTACTGGATTGTACTACAAATAGGCAGCGTTCAGCAGTTATGGCCCAGGGCAAAACAGTACACTGAAGTCAAGTGGATTGGCTTCTCCGGTTTCAGTCAGGATTGTACATCTCTGCTTTACACAAAGATTAAAGCAACTGAGATGTAAGTAATGTATCACAAAGTCTAGGCCTAAAATTCGGAAGTGTACTTATCATGAAAAGGAAGAACTTCTCAAATACGTGTAAGAGGTAAAAAGAATGAAACTTAAGAATGGTATAACTCTAAAAGAATAAAACAATCTTACCCAGTTAGTAGCATTATTTTCTTTTAATTTCTCCTTGAAGTATTCAGTTACCTTCTTTTCCCAATCAGAGTTTGGAACATTTTGGGCTACAAACAAAACACATTTATGTGCATATTAGCATCACATAACAGACTTCTAGTCAGCATTCTCCTAACTTAGTAAACAATTTAAACATTTACCTCTATTCTGGCAAAATGACTGCATTTTAGACTACTTTATGCCTCTTATAATTGCACTGACTTCCCATCTTATACCCTTTCAGGCAAACTAAGATGAACACAGCCACTCTCGGAAATGAGGAAAAGCTCTGAAACCCAGCTAGAGAGTGGAGGAGGTGAGGTGCCACTTTCTGCTTTATGTTCACTACGGAAATTTTTTATTTCAACGTGCCTTTAGTTAAGAGCAAGCCTAGCACTAGAACAGCTTCAGCTGATAGCACTGGTAATATTACCACTGATCGGTAGTCCATGTAGCCAGCACATATTGCTCCTGAAACCCAAAATATGCTTTGATTTCTTTTTATTTTCCCCCTAACCGGCCTGCCAAGCCGAGGCAGACCTTGCTGCCCGGGCATGAGGCACCAGGACAGGACCCCCAGCCGCCGGCGACGGCCACGCACCTCCTCGGAGGCCTCGGGAACGCGGCTCCCGCCCGCTCCCGGCGGGGAAGGAGGAAGTGCCACCCGCCCTCGCGGCTGTTCCTAGTTCACCCGGGCGCTTCTCCATCCCCGCTTCCCCCGGCCTCGCCCGCCCC